AGCCCTATGCATTTTAGATCAAACCATTCATGACAGCCATTACAGGGCACAATGACATTATTTTCTTGTCGTAGTTTGGCATTCCACAATAGACTTTCTTTTGTATACTCTTCCTGATTTTTCCACCCAACCCCATCCTTTTGTCTCTCTTTACGGGGAATGTTGTTATTTCAAGCGATGTCCTTAGCCAAAAAATGTGCTTTGCAAGGGTCCCTTTCAAAGACAAGCAATATTGCAAGCAAACAACAGTCATTTAGCTTTTCTTGGATTTGAATGTTCATTAGCTCAAAACGAACCGTTTTTCTCAGAGGACTCAGTAAAGAATAAATCAGCTTCTTTGTTTCCATTTTTGTTAAATTTTAGCTGGCTGTACACAAAAACACTATACCATAACTGATTTTACCCCTACTCAACTCAGATGAAACCATAGCTTGAACCAGAGTCACTTCAAACTTTAAACACTTTCAGGTCCTTCAGATTCTGAAACAGGTTTTACCATAATTATTATATAATAGCTTTTAGTGACTCTGGTGCGGCTTGTACAAAGTAGCCTCAAGCACTATCTAAAATGAGATGGAAAACTCAAAACCAGTAAATCTAGATGGAGAACTCAGAACACAATCTCATCTCTTGAGATTGAGAACTCAGAACCAAAATCTTATCTATTGAGATTGTAAAGGATCACAAGAGGGTTTTGCGCGCATCGCTGCGACAATCGACATGGAGAGCTTTCTCAAGATCTCATCATAGTTCACACACCAGTCATTAGATGATCACTAGCTACAACCTAGCTCTTTTATACAAAAACCCACAAACATGAAATCAGAGAGACTGTGGAGACATCCAGTCCCTCACAGAGGTGGAGAACTCAGAACCCAATGTCATATACTGAGATGGAGAACTCAGAACCCAATGTCATATACTGAGATGGAGAACTCAGAACCCAATCTCATCTACTGAGATGGAGAACTCAGAACACAATCTCATCTACTGAGATGGAGAACTCAGAACCCAATGTCATACACTGAGATGGAGAACTCAGAACACAATCTCATCAGCTATACTGAGATGGAGACTCGGAACCCAATCTCATGAGATGTTCTTCACGCAGCTGAATTTGCTTGTTTCTGAATGGTATGCATAGTTGGGCCTTCACTGAAGGCTTCATCGTGGATATTATCATGGATTTCCGAAGTGCAATCAATATTTTTTCTGCTAGCGCTAGCTACGTGCGATCACTCACAACAAATAAGTTTTCCTGCAGTTGGACGAAACGTAACATTCAAAGGGGGTAGTTTAGAGCGTAGACTCGCCATTCTCTCAGCTTTTCACTCTAACCAGTACAGCTAAAACACTAGAGCCGGAGAGGGCTATATCGAGTTATATCTAGCCCAACCTGGGGCGAACTCTAAGCGCATGCGTAAGCTGACAACATGAACAGCGTACGAAGGGGGTTAAACACAGAAACCAAATGCGTCGCTTGTTGATACCGAGTTTCGAACTATTTCAGACGCATGTGATCGACAAAGTTTCAGAACCAGGTGTGACGGTAGATACCAGCGCAGCACATACTCTAACACCAGTCTCCAGCACCATGTGTGTGGTCAGGGGACCAGGGAACTGGTTCAGACACTATCCTCCAGCTTTCAGGAGGTATTCACCACATCACGGAAATCTCCTCCAGAATATGATCATATCCGCTTCTGTATCACTGTATTACATGCAAACTCTTCTTACCACTTAAGTCACACTGCTTTGTAAAAATACAATGCATCTGCAAAAGGAACTCAACCTACTGCATGCAACCTGTGATGCGTTCTGTGCGATCAGTTGTCTTGTCTTCTGTTGCATGCGGGCGGATGATAGGTACGGGCAGCTGTCATCAGGTATATGACTCTTCAGACGATTGACATAATATCCATGCAGCACTAATAGAACACGGTGAGCGTCGGGTGTGCTGATGTGGCGGCGTGGCGGCGTCAGGCGCGAGATGAGGTGTTATACTCCCCGTCGGGCGTGTCTGGCCTGGGCGTCCCTTGCTTTCAGAGCTGTTGGTTGGCCCTTTTTATTCGCTAATCCTCATCGCTATTTGTTTTACGTGATGTTGACGTCGAGGGGGGTGACCAGGTCGTCCGTCGTCTTACGTGTGGGGGCCGTATGGCGCTGGAGTGCGTGTGGCGGGGAGAAGTAAGACAAGAGGAGTGTTGAAAAACGATGGGGACTGCCCTTTTTGGTCGGGTGGGTCGTGTGGCCGGATGGGGGTTGTTGGAACGTGAAAAAGCCATATATCATGCAATGAAATGGGGGAGGGCTAATGAATGGAAGAGTAAAACGAACCAACGGGGGAAGGTTGAACATGGAAGGGGGGTAGTTGCAGGTCGAGCCTGATAAAGGAAGGAGGGAGATTTCAGGGGACGGCGAGGAAGAGGGTGTCTGACGATGGGGGGGCGGGTTTGGTTTCCGAGGGGGTATTGGGTGGTGTGTGGGGTGTCTCTTAGTGTGCTGGGACATGTTCATATCTCATTCTGCAGTGGTGTTTGTTTGTTCGTCTACAAAGGATAAGATCTACTTAACGGGCATATGAAGTCAGAGAATGAGGAAATAACGGTTTTATATGACAAGTGCTCTATTTTTGTTACAAAGCTTTTTTTAGGCGCTTCCAGCATTGTTTGATTGGCCTACATGCCGTGCTATTCGCCATTTTAATGCGCATGCAGCTTTTATTTTTAGAAAGTACTCTCCATCACCGGGTCCGCTTGCTGTCTATCTGAAGGGACACAAGAAGTCACAACGAAATGGCTCGTTGTACGACTCTGGGTGCTATCTACTACTGTAGCTAGCCCGAGTCAGACTATCTTGCGAGATGAAGTGGAGAAAGGCGGACGGCGTGGCGCCAATGGCCTAGTATTGTCGTGCGAAGCGGCTAGGGTGTTCGCGGGGTCGTTTCGTAGGTGGTGTTGCAGGGGTGGTAGTGCTTTTCATTGGGGGTTGTGTGTTTTTTGGTGTCTGTTCTGTCTCGTTGTTATCTACGTCATCTCAATTTATCGAGTTGTTCGTTTTCGTTCTAACAAAGGATATCCACCTACTTGAACGGCCAATAAAGATCCGAAAATTTCGAAAGGTTTTAGTCGTGAAACGCTCCGTTGCAAATGCTTTTTAGTAAGCATACGGAAAAAAGCCAATATGCAAATACTCCAATCGGCTACACGGCATGATCGATCCGCGTGCTCTGGTCTGTCCGTACCACGGATATTTGCACAAGAAGATGCAACGTCAGGGCGTGTATCGGCCTTCGCAGGCTATGTATAGTAGGTGTAGTGCCCGCTTGGTGCAGACTGCTGCGAGTGATGGCAATAGACCAAGAGTAAACAGCTAAAAAACTAAATCCGCCCAGTCCCATTCAATTGTAGTTTGGAGCCTCCTTCAATGGGGTGGCGGGCCTGTCTTGCTAGGCAGCTAAGAAGGCCTTTACGGGTCGGCTCTGCACGTGCCCTTTCTAGCCTTTGCCGGTGGAGAATGGGGGAGAATTTTTCGACGTAAAGGGTGATCATGGCCGTGAATTCGTTTACTCCAGAAGTTTCGGTACTCGTGGGGGTCCCGTTCGCTCTTCTGCTTGGCGCTCCGCCGGCTTTTGGCTCGTTTGTGGAGCTTGGTTTCCCCCCCTCCGCGCTCCTTCACCGGTTCCGTACTTTTCGATCGGCTCGGTGCAGGTGTTGCGGAATGGTGGGCGTGTGCTCTACGGCCGCGCTATGCCTTAGACTTGCATGGTTTGTATTGTTTTGTTCGTCATTCGCCGATTCGCGAATGGGCCTTTCGGCTTCTGGAACGGTCGTGTGGAACTGTAACCCCTCGCCCTTGCCTTTCTCCTTTGCGGGTCCGCGATGCCCGTCCCTCTGTCAGCAGGCGCACTGCGTCTCTTTGGGGATGTTATTAGGCTTTGGCGTTGGACTATCGTGTGTAACGCCTCCTCTCGGCTTTGGGTTTAAATTGCCCCGATTTTTCCTGCTTTTGTGAGGCTTTCTGGCTGGAGCTAGTTAGATGCGGGTTGCCATGGGTGGTTTCTGATACGTGTCTTTTTATTTTCGTCATATAATCTGACGTTTCCGGTTGTGGTGTCTGTAGGGATGAGCGTGTTGTTCTGATATCCCGGGGTATTCCTCTGCGCTTTCTGTCCACGGGATTTGCGTTTTTGCCGCCGTTTGTGTTCTTTGTACCTCGCCCACCCATGTGGCGGTTGTCCTCCCGGGATAAGGATTGGATTGCCTTGGTCAGGCCAGCGGTGGGGCGAGTGCGTTCTAGTTCGGGGAGCTCGTACGTTGGGGTGGCCGTGGTCGTGCTCTGTTGGCGGCCGGGTGCTTCGGCGGCGTTAGCCTTTTGGTCGTCTGGCGCTGCGACGCTTCTCCTTGTCGTTAATTCCGGTCGTGGCCGTTGATGTGCCTCCTCCCTGTTGCCGACCCCCCTCCGTGAGTGTCGGAGTTGGGTATGGCGCAGGGCTTTGCGGCTTAGCTGTCGGCTCTGCCCTGTTAGTGGGCTGTGGTTTCGCCCTGATTAGGAACCTCCTCATCCCTTGGGACCCTGTATTGTGGGGGGTTATCCTAGCCCTAACGCCCAATCCTTCCTCTATGTGGTTGTCTTGTACCCGTATTTCTCTCGCTTGACACCTCTTCAGCGTTCTTTTTGCGCCGCTTGCACTTTTTTATGCTTGTTCTTACGCTGGACTCAACGGATTTCCTTCCCGTCGCTTTAAGCTTCGGGTGTCTGGCGGGGGCTGCAGTGCCCGTGCCCACTGGTGTGTCATTTGGTTTGGGAAGGTAAGCCTCGGTCACTAGTCACCGAAGATTGCAGCGCATGCCGTCGAATGGAGGAGAGTTCTCTCGCTGGACGCTGGCTAGATCGATGGGCGCATTTCCCGAGGCTAAGCGCGTAACGAAGCCGCGCATGCGCACTTACTTACAGTAATCCGCTCGAACGGTTTGCTTTCACTAATAAATCGTACGTGTCTATATACCCACGAATAAACAGTCAAAATGCGAGCTCTAGTGCAGCTAGCTGTTTTTGCCTTGGCACTGAGTCTGGTGCGTTGCGAGCACGATTTCTCCCGCTACTCCTTTCAAACAACCCTAAACACTCAAGAAAACGGAGGTCTGTACGAACTCTACTGGACGTTCGACAATGAAGCAGAGAAAATTTCCTTCGCCGTTCGCGTGAATGCAGCGGGTTGGGTTGGCTTTGGACTTTCGCCTAACGGACAAATGCCCGACTCTGACGTGGTCATAGGATGGGTCCCTAGTGAAGGAGACCCTGTGTTCCATGTGCGTTCCTAGTGCAATGCAAGCTAACTCTTTTTATCATACAGCATTGTGCAGGACCGGTTTGCAGGGGGAAGGGAACCTCCCACAATAGACGAGCAACAAGACTGGGTGCTGAAAGGTGGAGAGGAAGAGAATGGCTTCACTATCCTTGAGTTCAGTCGGAAATATGTCACTTGTGATGACTATGACCTCCCCATCACGGTATATATATAAGACAGAAAGAATGGCAAATGCAAGCTAAAACATTAATTTGTTCAATATTGTAGCCCGAAACAGCTAGGGTCATTTGGAGTTTCCATGCCACCACTGACCCAACCTCTGAGGTTCTAACCTTTGCTGACAGACACTCACATAGGGGAGCTCTCAGTCTCAACCTACTGGGAGGTCTCCCTGATGCAGCTCCTGATCCCCTGGGCCTGGACTCCTATGATATTACTGTTAATGGGGTAAAAACACACAACCCAGTATGCATGTATTATTATTATACAGGTATACGTGCAATCTTAAAAACACAACCATGCATGTATAATATACACAGTCGCCCTAAGGTACACAGGTATACTGTGCAGTCAATTGGACTATGCCAATAAACATAGCTATTATATAATTATATTTGCTGATAAGAATGGTGTGATAGTGTTCCAGTGTAAAATTCATATCCCCATGAGTATAACCATGTGACGTTTCCATACAACTCGAGTGTGTTTGCCGTTATGCACAGATCACCATCCCAGAGTCAGACACAACGTACTGGTGTGCTGCTTTCAAGCTTCCCGAGAGTATCCGCACCCAAACACGGTACATTACCAAGGTACGTATAGTATTACTACAATAGTATATTATACTACAGTTATGCTTAATTGGCGAATTAGTTTGGACCTGTTGTGACTGAGGGAAATGAGGCTCATGTTCACCACCTGTTGATCTATCTGTGTGACGGTATCAACGACACACATGTGGGGAATGGAGGAGTGTGTGACAGTGATGTGCCACGTCAAGTTGTCGCGTGTCGTGGAGGAACACTCATAGCTGCCTGGGCAGTTGGTGGAGAGGTCAGGATTTTGTAGACTAAATTCCCAGATTCATTGTAAGTTGACCCGGTAGATGGATAATTTAGTTTGGTTCCTTCTCCTCCCCCCACGACTTGGTTAATCCAACCATTTCTTCAACTATTTATTCCCAGATTCTTTTATGAGACTGTATTAATTAGCTGCTGCTGAGTTTTAGTTTTCAAAAGTAGAGGGCTGTGTAGCTAATACAATTTACAGCTACCTGCATTAATTGCAGGAGTTTGTGTATCCTAACAATGTGGCGTATCCATTTGGAGGAGAAGGATTTCCAGAGTACCTTGTCATGGAGCTGCACTATGACAATCCTCCAAAGATACAAGGTATAATGGTTTAGTACAAACATGCCATGTTCCTCTTTTTCTGTTGTTAGAGATTTCACCCATGCATCTTGGCCATTATACAAAGTCTCATATTTTGCCACACACACACACACACACACACACACACACGCACAGCTGTGAAAACGTCAGCATAATATAATATCACCCGTATAATGTGGATCCATTACTCAATAATGACTCAAGGGGCCCTTTACCCAGATCAGGTCACTTATTATGTAACTACACAGGAACTGTGGACAGCTCTGGTATGAGAATGTGGTATACCTCCACTGCGAGGGAATATGATGCTGGGATATTGAGATTGGTCATGCTGTGACACACCTCCACGTCATTCCGCCTGGTGCAGAGAACTTCACAACCACCGGCATCTTGACCAGCGAATGCACAAATGTATGTTCCCTAGCGAAATGTAATAATTAATTATTAACAATCAACTTTTTTCCCTGCAGTATCTTCCAAAAGAAGGCATTCATGTGTTTGCAAATATACTTCACACCCACATAGTCGGTAGGACGGTATCGTAGAACTTTGATGTATACCAATAGCTATATACTATTTTTACTGTTTCAGGTCATGGACTGAGTCTCCAGCACATCCGCTACAACTCTGACTGTGGTGTGTACGAGGAACTGGAGCCAATTGACAGGAATCTCAAGTACGACTTCAACTTTCAACAGATCAATCACCTCAGACGCGAAGTTATCATCAAGCCTGTGAGTATACATATTTTTTTACACACGCACGTGTGTACGGATATACAAACAGAGGACAACAGTGCACTGGATATAGAATGCACTGCTTGCCCTGCATCCCCTCGTGCTGCCCCATTCTAGAACAAATGTTCCCACAGCTGTGACTGAGGCCCACAGGGTTTAACAAATCTTATGTGGTCACCAGGGGGAAAAACTATATCGTTAAGTTATCTTCGCTGGATATATGCTGATAAGCTACACTTTCAGGGTGCTACTTTTCTCAGGGGGATATACTGCAACTGAAATGCTTTTATGGAACAACAAAAGAGGATGGTGTAACAATTGTAAGTTGATAGCTACTAGAAATGAGAGAAGACGGTTATATTGTTATTTTTTTTGCAGGGAGGGCTCAGTACAAGAGACGAGATGTGTCTTTCATTCTTTTTCTACTACCCGAGGCTCAAATTTACTGCTGGTGTCTCTCACATTGATGATAATGTATTTTATTCCTTCTTGGGCAACTTTCCGTGAGTGGTATAGCATAGCCAAACCTCGGTGCACTGTAGCTCTGTCTGTGAGCTGCAAAAAACTAATACGGCGATGACAGAGTACATATAGCTACCAGCTATAATAACAGCTAAATTCCAACTATGTCGTGAAGGTGGGTCAGGTTTGCTCTTCCTTATCAAAACTAATATAACTCCGTGGTTATTAGCTACTAAAATTCAGGAAAATTTTACTTGGTATAGAGCTAAACCTTGTTAACACAGCACGAGCTTTAGCTCTACTGCTTAAGATGCATGCATGCATGGCTTGCAACATTCAGTACATTATGTACTAGGTGCACCTTTTCTTACATGTGAGGGCTATTCAGAGCTTTTCTTGAAATTATCAGGACAGGACAGCAGATACTAGATGGGACAATGGAGTACGTTGACGGTCTAAATGGCATTCCGTGGAATGATGATACAAGAAATATGCTTCAGGGACTTGTAGATTCAAGCACCCAGAACTATTACTGTGGTGGAGAGGTAAGTGGGTTAAGCTGTGTGGGACTTCCATTATACTTTTCTTTTCCAGGACGATAGACTGGAAAACAAGACTAACTTCCCAGAAGTTGGCTGTTCTTACATACCTCCTGACCAGTGCTCAGCTACCCCAAATCCTCCTACCTGCTGTGAGAGGATCTCTGCCACTGAAGATGGAGTGGTTCTGAGAGCCTCAGTGGCTCTCTTGCTCCTCCTCTCTCTACTGGCTGCCACACTTGGATGATATAAATACAGCTTGAAACTATACTGTTTTAGTTTTGTGTAACACCAGTTAGTCGGAAAACATTTATTACAATATAATTTTTTTGCACGCTTGAGGTTGTGCATAACGTTAGGCCAAAGATACAACTGAAGACACTGGCTAAGAGGCATGCGAGAGTCTCAGTAAGAGCTATAGCTATATAGTGACGTATGTGTCTTTTTTATCGTTAGTTATTTGTCGCCCTGCTTCTAAAAATAGAACGCTGATGCTACGTTGCGTCCGGTGGATTGTTTGCTAATAGACTCTTGTTGTTAGAAGCTGCTATACATTTAAGGTCAGTTTAATAATTATGATGACTGAGAGTAAGACATAGCTCTCCCCGCATTTTCACGAGGTGGTATATACATTTGAAAGCTTTTGCGGAATCGCATTGGTCAGGGCCTTACCGCCGGATGTCATCATACAAACACGCTTTGTATGAAGTGCCGAACTACTTTTTTTGGGTCAAGCCTAAACGTCGCGTGAATTTACGTAAATTAATATCGCGAGAGTTTAGCTAAACCTCGTGTGATTATAGCAATCGTCGCACGACTTTAGGCAAACACCGCATGACTTTAGCTAAACTCTGCATGACTTTAGCATCCATCATTGCATTTAGCTAAACTGGCATTACTACAGCTAAAAACCCATGCATTTGGCTTTGGTCGTCGACGTTAGCTAAATATCGAAGACGAATGAGCAACGCGAATAATCGACAGCAGATGCAAAATCTGTGCCCTAAAGTCATGCGCCGATTAACTAAAGTCATGCGCCGATTAGCTAAAGTCATGCAGTGTTTAGCTAAAGTCATGCGGTGTTTGCCTAAAGTCGTGCGACGACTCTCGCGATATTACGTAAATTCACGCGACGTTTAGGCCGTGGTTCTGAGACAAACGGCACTTCATAGGCTTTGGCTGCTTGTGGTCTACTGGTTGCACACTCGTGGCTTCAGTTGGATAGACCACTCGGGCTGTGCCCTCGTGCCCTATCAAAACGGGCCACTCGAGCGCCGCCATCGTATAAACCTATACATACATGTGCACAGATCATCATTCCAGAGAATGATACCACCTACTGGTGTGCTGCTTTTAGACTTCCTGAAGACATCCGTACCCAGAAAAAATATATCACAAAGGTCAGTTCATAATCTTTCTATATTAGTGGCAGCACAGCATTGCCATCGAGGCTACACTGTGCAAATACTGTGCACATTATTTTCATTTCCGTTTCAGTTTTCTCCTAGTGTAACGAAAGGCAACGATGCTCACGTTCACCATCTCCTGGTGTACCTGTGCGACTCTCTCAATGAAACACATGTGGGGAACGGAGGGAGTTGTAGAGATGGCGTGGCTAATGAAGTCGCCGAGTGCCGTAGTGGAGTCCTCATTGCTGCCTGGGCAGTTGGTGGAGAGGTGAGATATTACCTACCAAGGAATACTTAATCCTATCGTTTTTATTTGCCTTCCCTCGTTTTGGAAGTGCATTATTGCCATTGGTGTAAGGCTGTAGTGCGAGGCTGGGTTCACAATAATATGTCGCATTCCCCCGTCACATTGTGCTGCGAAGATAGAAATGGATTCTATTCTCGTGATGTGGCACGGCGCGGCGGGGAAATGTGACATATTGTGAACCTAGCCTAAGTGTCACTGGTTTTTACTCTTCATAGACGTTTGTGTACCAAAACAATGTGGCATTCCCTTTGAGGTGAGATGACCCGAGTAGGTGGTCATGGGTTGAACACGATAATCCAGAATGAAAGAAAACGGTAATACTCCACAACACCGACATGAAGTTAGTTTAGTAGACGCGCTTGCCAGAATGCAGTTTCTTGGGTAGAATCCAAACCCAGGGTAGTCAAAAAGGGTGCAAGCTAAACACTTGCGATACATCGTGTTGAAACCACATATCATCGCTCTACATACCATCTGGCATAGGAATTTGGTGTGGCATGTGGGAGTTGGGAGTGGGACTGATAGAGATTTCTCTGATGACTTTACACCTCACTGGGGGAGGGAGGTCATGGGACTAACTTGCTGACTTGTACAATGAAACCTTGAATAGCAGAGCTCATCATCAATAAACTAAAGTGGCATGATGAAATACTTGTGATTCACCACGTGTGGTGATGTGGTAAATCGATAAATGGCAGGTAATGTGGACAGCTCTGGCATGAGAATGTGGTATAATTCCACGCCGAGGAGAGCAACGAGGCGGAGTTCTGCAAGTTGGTCATTGTGTGACCGAATAATACATAATTCCACCTAACTCTGAGAACTTTACAACCACTGGTATGTGTTGACGACTGCACAAATGAAGTGAGTTTGTTGGAGGCTTGCTGCTAATGTTGCTGCTACTATCGTCCATACCTATACTATTATAGTTCTTTCCTCAAGAGGGAATTATGTGTTTGCAAATGCTCTCCACACCCACGAAGTTGGTTATGCAAATCATTGTTCCTATAACACATACCACATAGCTATTAATCTTGTTATCAGGTCAGGACTGAATTCTCAGACATACGCTATAAATCTGGGGGGGAATGTGACGTGTATGGGGAGGAACTGGAGCCAATTGATTAAAAACTTGTTGAAGATTGATTTCGACTTTAAGCAGTCAATCATCTCAAAGCGTGAATTATGGAAGTTGTTATTATCCAGTAAGTTATATTATGATGTGAGTGGAATCACTCTTGGTCATCATATGCAGGGTGACACTTCGATTCAAGTGCTTTTATGGTACCAAAGGCTTCGCTAAAAGTACTCTAGTAAGATACTGTAAGCATTAGAGTACGCCTATATAGGCAAGTGGGGACCTCCGAAAATGGGACACATTGGTATATTATAAGACATTTTTGGAGTTCAGAAATAATTACGTAGACTAGTTAAGTTAAAATGTTACTAGACTAGTGTAGGTTCCGGAACACCCTCATTTGGAAGGACAGCGAAATGGGGGCAAGATGGCAGCAAGAGTTGTGTTACTATTCCATAGTCCAACTGTAGTCAAAGCATTGAGATTAGTAAATCATGTTTATGTGGGTCACGGCAAAACTCGTCCAAAGTTTGATGTTCCTGGCGTACTCCCATTGCTTATGGACATTAGGTTGATGACTCTATACCATACTCTGTACCATCAACAACGCCATAACTTACAGGAGGGACTCAGCACAAGAGATGCAGAGTGTCTCTCCATTCTTTCTTACTACCCAAAACGGGAAATTTCATTGCACTTCACAAATCGCGGAAGGAAAATGAACTTAGGACATACTTCAGAAAACCCGGATGTCTGTCTAGCTAAGCTACATGTTCTATATACACAATTTTATGGTTTTATATTTCGTATATGACAGAACAGAAAACAAGCAGTTGAACTTCAGAAGGGCTAAGAGTTAACCTGGGATTGACGGGCAAATGAAGATTCTCCAGCGATTTGCAAATGAAAAGCGCGCATTTGCCTATGTGGTTAATGCTGCAGGTACATGTCATATATTGCTACTAATTTTCATATTTGATGTATTATTTCTTATTAGGACAGAGGGGTAGTAAAATCATCCAATTTCCTAATATTGGTTGTTGTTTTCCTACATACCTCCTGCCAGTGCTCTGCTCTCCAGCTACCCCCAAAATCTCCTACATGCTCGTTTGAGAGGATCTATGCCCACTGAAGATGGAGTGGTTCTGGAGCCTCAAGTGGGCTTCTCCTGCTCATTCCCTCTATTACGGCTGCCACATTGGGATGAGCTCTACTGAACAGCACCATTAATTGATGCTTTGAACAACCTTAATTACTATAGCTAGTCTGTGATGGCTGACTAATGTGTATATAGCTACTTTTGCGACATTGTGTAGCTATTTTTATGAAGGTATTAGACCATTGTGTGTGATGCACAAAAGAGAAGAAAAAGATGCGGACGCTTGTTGAAGCGAGGATAAAAAGCGCTGCGCATGCGTTATGTGGGGAGAGCGGAGAGCGGCTTGTCGCACATCTCTGCGACTATAAAGATGAGCATCAGAGCATTTTAACAGGATGATGAATTTCATTTTGTCTGGCTTCCTCGGTATATACACTGGCATGGATGCGCGCAGATCTCAGCTAGTACCGTTCAACGACGCTCAACCACTGTGTGATAACGGAGGTTCTCTAATGGAACTTCGAACAAATTGCGAAGGAAAACGATTTATTTCGCCGGTTCGCGTCCCGACCACGGGGATGTCGGCTCGGACTCTCACCCAACGGACAAAAATGCCAAAACTCTGACGTAGTACATAGGATGGGTCACTGATGGAGGACAGAGACCGTGTTCCTGTGAGTGTAGCTAGCTTGGTTGAACAGTACTTACACGACGAAACAAAGGGTTTGCTCGCGCGCTCCCGCTAGCTAATAATCGTACGTGTCTATATACCGAACTAATAATGCGAGCTCTAGTGCAGCTAGATGTTTTTGACCTGGCAATGAGTCTGGTCGTTGCGAGCAACGATTTATTCCCGCTACTCTTTCAAACAGTCCTAAACACTCAAGAAAACGGAGGTCTGCTCGGGTGGGGGGGCGGAGGGGTAGTGGTGTAGTGAGTTTACATGGGGGGGGGTGGGGGGGGGGGGTACGACTCTACTGGACGTCGACAATGTGATGCCCAAGAGAAAAAGATGCGAGCTTGTTGAAAGGCGCGGATTAAAAAGCGCTTGAGCATGCGTATTGCGTTATGTGGGGAGAGCGGGTGTGTCGCACAATCTATGCGACTAAAAGCTGAGCCTCAGAGCATTTACAGGATGATGAATCATTTTTGTTGCTGGCTTCCTCTGGTTATATACATGGCATGGATGCGAGGCACGATTCTCCGTTAGCTACCCGTTCAAAAGCGGACGCTTCAAACACTGCTGAATAAAGGACCGTCTCTACTGAACCTTCGACAATGCGAAGGAAACGATTCATTAGCCGTTCGCGTCCCAGACAAGGGGATGGGTCGGACTTCGGACTATCACCCAACGGACAAAGCCAAACTCTGAAGTTAGTCATAGGAGGGTCAATGATGCGGAGAGAGAACGTGTTCCATGTGAGTGTAGGCTAGATGGTTGAACAAGACTGAGGGTCATGTTCACTCTTTGGAAATTTGTGTTATTGTTCACACAGACCGGTTTGAATGAGAGAGCCGCGCATGCGCGAAGGAGGAAGAGTTCTCTGCTTGCTAGGAACCGACGCACTTCGCGAGG